TGAGTAGTTAAAAAAAATAAAACCCAACTATATGCTGTTTATAAGACTAACATTGAAAATGAAAATACAGAGAAGTTTAATCTAAAATGATGGTAGGGATCCTAGGCTTATCATGGGGATCACTTCATAATATATGAAAATATCAAATCACTATGCTATACATCTGAAATTAATAGGATATTGTATATTGATTATACTGCATTTAAAAACAAAATGATAAAAAAGACACATCTAAACAATAACTGAAAGAAGACACTATATATTAATATCAGACAAAATATACTTTAAGGCAAAGCATTATTAGATATAAAAATAATAGATTTGAGGCAGAAAGAAAGCAGAAGGAAATAATCAAGATAAAAGCACAATCAATAAAATATCCAAAAGAAAAGAACAACTTAACCCAAAGTTGGTTCTTAGGAAAGACAAAGGAAATCGATAAACATCAGGGGAGACTAAGACAAAAATGAAGAATGCACTGATAAATAATAAGAAGAGAAAAAAGAGAATCATTAAATATGATTCAGTCTTCAAATAGGTAAGATTTTATTACAAACAACTTTGCAATAAATATGAAGATTTTACGAAATGGGTAAATTCTTAGAAAAAGTATAACTTACTGAAACTGACACAAGAAAAAACAGTAGATTTAACAATCATTTACTATTAAATAAACTGAAATCAAGTAAGTATCATCCACAAAAAGCAACAGTAACAACAATGGAAAAAACCCTGCAGCACCATGTCTCCATAGGCAAGATCTGCTAAATATTCAAGGAAGAAATAATTCTAAGCTTAAACAAATTCTGAAGAACAGAAAGAGTTGACAGAAATCCAACTCATTTTATGAGAGCAATAAAACCATGACAGTAAACAAGGAAGGAAAATTACTGGCCGATATCACTTATAAACCCAGATGCAAAAATCCCAATGTGTATGAAAATTAAATCTAGAAATCTAGAAATATGTAAGAGTAATAAATTATGACCAGTTGGGCTTATACAAGGAAAAATGTGTTTAAAATTAGAAATAAATCTATGTGTTTCAACATATTAAAGAAGAAAATCATAATCATAATCATCTCAATAGATGGAGAATTTTTCTAATAAAACTCAGTATCAATGTGATTTGTTTTCACTTAGCAAACCAGAAATAGAAAGGAAATCAATTAATCTGGCACTAGCTACAAAAGAAACGCTCAGCAAACTTTTTATTTTTATTTTTTCTTTACTTATTAAGTAATCTCTACCAACACGGGGATGGAATTTACAACCCCAAGATGGTGAGCTGCACACTCTACCAACTGAGCCAGCCAGGTGCCCCAAACTTCTAAAATCCAGCTCCTTCTGAATTCAAACCCCATTCATTTGGCCACATTTTAATGCTTTCTTTTCAAATAAGCCCAAGAAGTTGAATATGGCTGGAAAGTAGCACATGAGAGAAAGAACATTCTTTGAGACAACGGTCATTAGATAATGAAGGTCAGATCATGAAGGGTCTTAAATGCCATGCTAAACAGGTTGTTTGTGTGTTTTCCTGAAAACAGTGAGGTGACACTGAAGGTGAAAGGTTGGCATAAGCAGTAGAATGACCAAATAAAGCTTCTTTCAAAGAATCGTTCTGGCTGCAGTATAAATTTAGAAAGGGTAAAACTTAAAGCTGGGAGATGAGTTTTCAAGAGAGAGAACAAGGGGTTGCAAGTTCCAGACCTGTAGGAGCCAGACATGAGTGAAATGGGCCAGTTCTAAGACAAAGGAGAGGTGAGAACTGTAGAAAATGAAAAGCACATGTCACTATAAAATCCCACAATTCAGCTCCTGTCAATTGTTTTCATGCAAGAATATTGCCCAGGATTGCTAGATCTTCCACACACACACACAACCAAATATGGGCCAAATCTGGTACAAAAGTCATCAGTTTGCAACTTGTGGCTCAAAATAAGGTAAAGTCAATAGAGAAGAAGAAAGAAAACAAACTCAACGGATATTATGAAGGAAGAATTGTGATAGTTATCAATCGGGTGAGGGCAGAAGAGGGGTAAAAATGGATGACTTCCAGATCTCCAGTCTGGTCACTGGGTGGATGGTTTGTCATTCACTAAGCCATGAAACACAGGTAGATGAGGTTTAAGGGACATTCAGATAGCTAGTCAGCAGAAGGAATATAAGACTGGGAAAACAGAAGCCATCTTACATGCCTCAGTTCTTTCCCCACCACCACTCCCATCACTACATCTTTAGCTCAGCTGCACCAGTGATACCTGGGCAAGTGATCAAACAAGCAAAATCAGAGTCACATCTGGAAGTAAGCAGACTGAGAAAAGCTGGGTAGATATACCCATCAAACAGAACCATACATAGTGAGCTAACAGTGAGGCTGAGTGGTATTATCTGAAGATGCCAGGATGGGGACAGTGCTGGTGACCTAGGTTTTCAACCAAAGTGGCCAATCATTGCAGGCTGTGAGATTGGGGCAGCTGAGCCTGTTGCGGACCTCAAAGTGTTAGGAAAATAAAGTAACAGGGAATCCAGGAAATACTCTCTCCACTTAAGAGGAAGCTAGATTTCAAAGATTGAGACTATGACCTCACCCATTACACACCATCCCTGGTTGCAGGAATCTGAAAGCCTTAACCTATCTTTATCCCAAACACATACTGGTCACAAGACTTCCTTGATAAATTCTGCCATTTAGGACAATATGGATGTACCTTGAAGGCATATGGTAAGTAAAATAAGCCAGACAAATACTGTATAATCCCACCTACCCATGGAATCTAAAAAAAACAAAATCACAGAAACAGAGCAGATCGGTGATTGCTACAGACAGGAGTGGGGGTGGTGGAAATGGGTGATGGTGGTCAAGGGTAAAAACTTGCAGTTACATGATGAATACATTCTGGAGAATTACAGGCTGGGGAAAAAAAGTTAAAAAGCTAAATGGGTAAGTGGGAGAGCCAAAGAGGTTTCTTAAAAGGAGGCCTCTTTCACCTGCAGCACAGAAGCACTCACAGTTGAGTGGCAGACTTAATGAGTTGAATTCCAGAAAAGCCTAAACACTCCAAGTGGTACTGTTACGCTAAGCTCAGGAGCCTGACTGGAAAAACCTGGAACCCTAACGTATGGTATTAAGACATCTGGATGGAAGCTCCCAAGAATACTGGCTCTGCAGACTTCCACGAACCAAATCATGTTCACACAAGTGGCCTATCACTCCCTAGCAAGAGCGAGCACCTCCCCAATGCAGAACTCTCTTAAACAGGGCCATTCTTGGGGTACCTGGGTGGCTCAGTGGTTAAAGCCTCTGCCTTTGGCTTGGGTCATGATCCCAGGGTCCTGGGATCGAGCCCCACATCAGCTCTCTACTCAGCAGGGAGCCTGCTTGCCTTCCTGTCTCTGCCTACTTGCAAGCTGTCAAAATCTTTTTAAAAAGCGGGGGGGCGGGCATTCTCACAAAACATGTCCTCTTCTTCCCACAAAGCTGCCTCCACCTCATTTCTTTTCTGCCAGGCCAAAAAGCAGGGTTAAATCCCAGCAGGATCCAGCTGGTAATGCACTGGGCCTGATAAGGGAGTAAAGAAATTGTCCCTCAAAGAACTGTAAGAACTAGCTAGCAGGTATTGGTAGAAGACAGGGGAATACCCCTGGACTTGGATTTTAAAAGTGACTAATCAAGAGGACCAGAACATAAAATTGTAAGAAGTCACTGGCTTGGAAGCATGTTTTCGGTACTCGTAATTTAACACCTTGGCCAGGAGCCCAGGGAACTGGGGTAAAATAGCTGCAGGGGTGCCTTTCAGAAACCTGGAAAAAAATGATGGCGAACACTCAGGAATGTGAAGATGCTGCCATTGCCCTAGCAAAGGAATCAAAAGGTGCAAAGAGAATATGCCAGAATGGGTCCGTTATGTGAGACCCAGAGGACATTCCCATTCACCAAAGCCATCAGGTAGAAGGGTTCCAATGTCACCAAGTTCAACGAACTTTCTGCAGGCCAGGATGGAGCATGGTAACAGCCACGAAGATCACAGGGCTACTAAATAGTAGAAGTCAGCGGGGCAGCACTTTAACAAAGGTCCAGGGACAATTACAGGCACATGCTTTACTGTGCTTCGCTTTATTGCACTTCGCAGATGCCGCATTCTTTTACAAACTGAAGGTTTGTGGAAACCCCGCAACGACCAAATGTACTGGCACCATTTTCCCAAAAGCATTTGCTCACTTTGTGTCTGTGTCACATTTGTAAATCTTGCACGATTTCATTATTATATGTTATGATAATCTATGGTAAGTAATTACCACTTGCTGAAAGCTCAGATGGTTAGCACTGTTTAGCTATATTTTTTAACTCAGTTATGACTTTTTAAAGACATAACACTATTACACACTTAGTAGATTACAGTACAGTGTAACTTTTGTATGTGCTAGAAAACCAGAAAATTCACCTGACGTGCTTTATCAAGGTATCTGTTTTGACTACAGTGGTCTGGAACCTAACCTACCTATCTCCAAGGCATGCCTGTAACAGACAACTTCTAGCATAGATAACTCAGTCCTAAGTGAACTTTTATTTTAATCCTATCTTTAGATTCATCATCAAAATGATCTTGACAGTTTACACCTATCTCTGCTCCAGCATCAGGCTTAACTTCAATACAAGTTTTTTACATACATTCCTAGCTCTAGAGAATTTGGGGATGATAATCAGACATTAATTGGGAGAAAAGAAATGCAAATGGGAGTAGGTGGCACAAAGAGCAGAATGAAAAGAGGAAGATTTCTAAAACTGGTAGGCTTTAATAAGGAAGTTCCACCCGTTTCCATTTACTTCTTACAGGTTTTTATCTTACCTTCCAAACCAAACCAAGTTCCTGAAAATGTATTTTACTTCTTGGGATGGAAGTTAACCTGTCCTGTTTTTCCCTTTCCCATCAGATACAACTCCCTAAGGACCCAAAAAATATATATACACATTCAAATACAAAGAAAACATGCATTCAATTGTTTTACATTTTCATAACATTTTAACATTTAATAGAAACTATATACAATAATTTTTATTATATTTTACATAAGATAGCCACTACAGAAATTTACATAGGTTAGAAGCAAGATGGATGATTAAAGAGGGCCCAGTCCTGTGGGCTATTCTCAGAGATGATAGGTCAGAGTTCAGTGGAGGAAGGAGGGGTTCAGATTACCAATCAGGTAAGAGGTGAAGAAAGGCTAAAACACAGGCCATTAGATAGAGATAATCAGACACTGGGTTCCATTAATAACCCAAAGGTACACACATCTCCTACCTAAACACCTATGCGTATTTGTGCCTGGACCTGGGAATTCCCATTACAAAGATGTCTCTCCCTTAGGCACAATCCCAAATACTCTCAGTCCCAGCAGCTCTGACAGGAATCACCTATCTCTCTCTTCCCTGCGCAGACTGGGAAGACACTCTTGGTCCCCCCGCAACAAATCTGGTTTATGTTTGACTACAGCACTCAATAACCCAGAGGAAAAATGCCATAGTCGGAGGTGTCCTTCAGTGAGAGACAGTCATAAATACTTGTTTAAAAGAATGGAAAATTCAAATCCACCAAAGTCAGATAAATGGTTTCCAAAACAAATCATCAACTGATAGAAGAGGGTTCTGGCTTCCCATTTGTAGTAGCCACTCCGCTCTGAGGCAGTGGTGCAGAGGCTTTCTCAGAATTTCGAGACCCCTGTGATCTGCACCCATCTCCAGCCATCTGCATCTGGCCCTGTTAAAAGGAAGTCACTTTGGTTACAAATCCATTCATTATGGTCTGAAACATGAATGTGACTTATCAAGATCATGACAGCAGAAATATAGTAACTGAGAGGTTGCTCTTCCCCATACTGTACTCTCTGATCCTTGGAGTCAGCGACCATGACAGGTAGCATTCCTGAGGCCCTCCCAATGGGAGGGAGAGCTATGGGTTGTTTCTTCCAATGAAACAGCCATTCTCTGCTGAGGTTCCAGAACAGCCAGGAGATCACAGGAAGACAGTCCTTTGGGCCTCTGCTTGAAACAAACAGCTATAGTACAACTGCTAGTCTTCAGTCAGGGCCACCGGTACCCCACCCAAGGCTCAAAGAAAGAAGCTGAATCACATGACTTGTCCTTATGCTACCATGAAAATAATTCCAGTGCTGAACTCTCCCTTTAAAAAGAACCACTTGGGGCACCTGGGTGGCTCAGTGGGTTAAAGCCTCCACCTTTGCTCAGGTCATGATCCCAGGGTCCTGGGATCGAGCCCCGCATCGGGCTCTCTGCTCAGTGGGGAGCCTGCTTCCTCCTCTCTCCCTGCCTGCCTCTCTGCCTACTTATGATCTCTGTCTGTCAAATAAATAAATAAAATCTTAAAAAAAAAAAAAAAAGAACCACTTATGATTTATGTAGATTCCTTGTCTTAACCTCTTCTAGTTAACTAAAGAAACACGCATTCTGCTCTCTGAAATTCTGGGACTAGTGGTGTTCTCTTTAAGGGCCCATTTATAGAACTGCCATCTGGGGCCCCTATACAGTCTACTTGTGATGACAACCCCACACTGGGAGTACATGCTAGCCACAGCCAGCAGGGAGACCTGTGCCTGGATGGGGTTGTCCTTCACTTGCCAGAATATCCACCGGGCCTTCGGCAATTTCTTTGACTGAATGATCTTCAAGGGTTAGTGAAGGATCAAAAAGTAAGGGTGAAGGAGGGCACTGCATACCATCACCCACAACATCCAAGTCCTAGGAAAAGAAAAGAGAAAAAGCCTATCAGTAAAACCAAGGGAACCAGTAAGCTGAAGCTGGCATATTTTTCAATAAACCTCAAAGCAATTTTCCCGTATTTCTCTCACCCCCTTGCCTACCTTTAACCAAAAAAAGATTTTTCCCAGAATGTCCAACAAATGGGATAAGATCCGAAAGCACTAAAAACTTTTGCTTGCTGCTGAGTATAAAGCACAGACCACTGTACTAGCTTAAAAAAAAAAAAAAAAAAAAAAAAAAGGTATTTTCAAATAGAAAAATTCAGACACAAAAGTGTAGAATAGTAGCTACCAAGGGCTGGAGGGAGAGAGGAAGCAGGAGTTATATATAGTTCAATGGGCACAGAGTCTTGAAGCTGATAGAAAAATTCTAGAGATGCACAATGGTGACAGCTGCTCGATACTGTGAACGTACATAACACCATGAATTGTACACGTAAAAATGGTTAACAGTAAATTTCACGTTATAAACATTTTACCAAAAAATTTTATTTTAAAAAAGTGTATTCCTTCTAAGACTAACTGTAGTCACCATCTAAGTTCACCAGTGGTGAACCTAATATGGACAATCAGCATAATCACAAACTAGAATAAAATACTGCTTTCAAAGATTGGACAATATGCAAGGTGGCTGGCTGATTGACTCTGTTGGTAGAGCATGCAACTCCTGATCTCAGGGTTCTAAGTTCAAGCCCCATGATGAGCACAGAGCTTACTTAAAAAAAAAAAAAAGGCTGGACAATATGAGATTGCTTGATTAATGCCCTAACAGTCACAGTGAGCTAAGTACTATTTGGATGAAGTCCCTATCCCCTCCCAGAAATCCCTAATTCTTAAACAAAACATACTTCAATTGCTCTTTTAAGAGGGGGGAGGGGGGAGGCACCTGGGTGGCTCAGTTGGTTAAGCATTTGCCCTCTGCGCAGGTCACAATCTTGAGATCCTGATGTCCTGGGAAGGAGCCCCATGTCAGGCTCCCTGCTCCGTGGGGAGTCTGCTTCTGTCTGCCCCTCCCCCCCACATTCCTGCTCTCCCCTCTCTCTCCTCTGCCTCTCTCAAATAAATAAAAGCTTTTTTAAAAATGGGGAAAAATAAAAAAAGGAAGAAAATCATATTCCATAATCTATGTTCTTCCAATTGAAGGAGCCATTCCCACTGGGATGCTGAATGGCTACCAGACCACAGAAACACAGTACTCTTGGCTCCTGTTTGAAACCAACAGCTACAGCAAACCACTGGTCTTGATTCAGGGCCAAAAGCATCACAAAGCCACAATGTGTCAAACTAACTTTCATGCTACCAAGAGTCTACTGCAAAACTCCCTTCCCAAAAGTGATTTACAAAGGGCTTCTACTCCCCTATGCCCAATCCACTTTAAAGAGGCTGTTTCCAGTAATCTAGCTTTACAACAGACTTAGATCTATGCTTTTAAATTAAGTCTAAGCAAGTGAAACCCTTTCTTTGGTGTGCTAATTACCAAATTAAGTATCACACTTCACTACAATTAAGGTAAAGAATATTAATTTTAAAATGTATAAGACTTAAGCCTGCTCAATTTAAGCAGAAATTCAGAAAAGGGTATGGTCAGCTACCTAAGATCTATTTCAGATGTGTTAGAAACTATTTATTTATTTTTCCATTCAGTCATCCATTTATGAGAGTGCTGAGTAGGGGGGAGGGGCAGACGGAGAGACCCTTCAAGAAGACTCTCACAACCCATGAGATCATGACCTGAGCCAAAACCAAGAGTCCCACACTAAACTCACAGAGCCAGCCAGGTGCCCCTAGAAACTTCTGTACTACCCACAGAAACCAGTATTCTTATGTGGTTAAGCCTGTAAAATGTTCTCTTCAATTCTTTTACTTGCACAATTATTATACATATAATTAACTTGGCATTTTAAAGAACCAATTTAGGGACACCTGAGTGGCCTGGGATGGAGCCCCCAGTTGGCCTCCTTGCTCAGCAGGGTGCCTGCTGCTCCCCCTGCCTGTGTGCACTCTTGCACTCTCTCTCTGGCAAATGAAAAAATAAATGAATAAATGAAAATAAAAGAACCCACGAGGCATGAAGTTTCCAAGTCTCAAGATGACAATGGTATGGAAATGTTTTGTAAAGAAAATAGATATTCAAAAGGCTTTTCTCACATGTTCATTTTGTCTGTTACAAGAATTAAAATTGGGGAGGGGCGCCTGGGTGACTCAGTGGGTTGAAGCCTCTGCCTTCGACTCAGGTCATGATCTCAGGGTCCTGGGATCAAGCCCCATATTGGGCTCTCTTCTTAGAGGCAAGCCTGCTTCCTCCTCTCTCTCTGCCTGCCTCTCTGCCTACTTGTGATCTGTCAAATAAACAGGAAAAAATCTTAAAAAAGAAAAAAATTAAAATTGGGGAAAGGAACCTCAAACAAGAAGAGTGGATCAGCAGAAATGCCTATCACAACAGGAATATTTAGAAACAGAAGTCCATCAGGACATAAAAACAGAATCCACATTTTGTTCTGATCTCAAAAATCACACACAAAAAGTAAGAGGATTATGGTATTAGGTTATTGCCAAACTTCCTTGGATCAAAGCACAGTAAACAGGCAAGTATAATATCCAGAAGGAAAGACTGAATTTTAACCTGTATTATTATCTAATACCTGGTCCTCCCATAAGTAAAATTACCAGAAGTTATTAGCAAGTTCTAGAAATGACATCTAAGGCAGAATGTAGGTTACAAACTAAGATTGCTTGGCTAAATTCATACAATTAAGAAATCATTTTTTCCCTCAGGAAAATTGTATATTAATAAATATATGCAGTACAGGAGGACAAAATTTCTAAAACTGGATTTTGTTTCAACATTTTCCAGAGAATTTTTACCTCCAAAGATTAAGACTAAAACTATACTTATAATGACCAATATGATTTATCAAAATAAAGTACAAATGATTATCATTTTTTAAAAGATTTTATTTATTTATTTGACAGAGAGAGAGAGATCACAAGTAGGCAGAGAGGCAGGCAGAGGGAGAGGGGGAAGCAGGCTCTCCGCTGAGCAGGGAGCCGGATGCAGGGCTCAATCCCAGGACCCTGAGATCATGACCTGAGTCGAAGGCAGAAGCTTAACCCACTGAGCCACCCAGGTGCCCCAAATGATTATCATTTTAAACCTCTAACATCACAGGTCCATCTTAAAAACCCACTGGAATCTGAAAAGTAAGGTTACTTCTCACATTCTTTTGGGGAAAAAAAAAATCCGAATATGAATAAACAGATTTGACGATGTTTTTAAATATTTTTAAAGATGTTATTTATCTGAGAGACAGAGAGAGAGAGAGAGCGCATGTGTATGCACACACACACACAAGCAGGAGGAGCAGCAGAGAGAGAAGGAAAGCCAAAGAGACTCCCAGTTGAGCGCAGAACCCTGAAGTGAGGCTGGATCCCAGGACAGAGATCATAACCTGAGCCGAAACCAAGCGTCAGACCCTTAACTGACTGAACCACTAGGCGCCCCTAAATATTTTTAAAATTAAGATCCCTTAAATGTCAGTTTCATATACATATAATCACAAATCTTATAATCTCTAAGATTTGGTGTAAAAATTCTCTGAAGAGCAATACTAATATGGCAAGAACAGGTGAAAGGGGAAAAGCAAAAAGGTCAAAACAGAAATGGCTCTAAAAAATTATCAGATGACGGGTGTCTGGGTGGCTCAGTGGGTTAAAGCCTCTGCCTTCGGCTCAGGTCATGATCTCAGGGTCCTGGGATCGAGCCCCGCATGGGGCTCTCTGCTCAGCGGTGAGCCTGCTTCCCTTTTTCTCTCTCTGCCTGCCTCTCTGCCTGCTTGTGATCTCTGTCAAATAAATAAAATATTAAAAAAAAAATTATCAGATGAAATAAAAGCTACTATCCTATCTTCATGAAATACATGTGCTAGTTTCTATATATTTACATTATTATCTGAAAGGAATGTAGTGATACAGTGCTTAATTTTCAGACCTTTTAAATTTGCTCATGTTACTAAGTTTAAAAAAAAAAAAAAAAAGATAGTGCCTCTGCACTTTCTTCACATTTAAAATGAAGGGAAGTGGACAAAACTGTCCTTATCAACAAAGGGCTATTTGGTCGTTTACGCTCTTCAACATAATCTCACTGGAAAAACTTGGGAAGTACTGAAGTATATAAAGGTCCCTTACTAATTTTCGTATTCTATGAAATCTGTGTTAAAGAAATTTTTTAAAAAAGCAATTATAATCAGGATTATAATAAAAATGACAACTTTATTATAAATGAAATAATGAAAAAAAGTTTAATAAGCCTATAGATCATATGTAACCAAAAGGGAGAAAGGGAATCATGAAAAAAAAATTAGACCCAGTTTCTTCTTAGTATCACTTTTCTTTTTCAGATAGTACCCTGTCCTTTTATATCCTTTTAAATAAGCAATACCCTTGAAGCCACCCAAACTTTGCTTCTACCATTAGTAAATAATCTTGCAAACTATATTAAATTTTCCATTTATATTTGTTACATTAAACACGTCATGGTTATATACAAAACTTTATTATGAAATTCAGACTTATCTTCAGAACAAATAATGAAGACCTTTATCCAGAACACTACATATTAACTAAAGTGCTAAGACAAAGATGCTATATCAACTGATCCCTGAGTCTGGCAGTAAGATAGCACTAACTATGGGAACAAATAAAATCAGAGATGGGCTAATGGGTTAGGACCAACTGAGGAACAAGCTTAAAAAAGTAGTGTACACACTCAGAAGGCTGTAAATACTTAAAAAGAGATCACTGTTGTTCTAGTCCGTTCACAACAGAATCTACAATAACACATCAAAAATAAAAGCCAGCAGCCAGAGCTAGGTTTAGAGTCATTTCCTCGGGGGCGTATTAACCTGAAAATGAAACTTTACTACAGAGCAAACACACAGCTTAAAACCGTCAAGAGTAGATATGAGAATTCATATGTACTATTAAGATTCTAATGAATCACTCACCTTGTGGATGGGTACCAAGTTTCCTGGCTATACTAAATCCAAAACAATCTTGACTTTCCAGCTTCCCATAGTTGACAATTTAATTCCTTATCATTCCCTCAGATAAAGAAAAACTCCTGCCAACTTAACGGTCCCTAAATTAATATGCTAACATACAAACACAAGCATACATGTAGCATTTCAAAAACTTTATCAAGTCTCCTGGCCACAAAAGACGAACCTAGTCTCACCAATAATAAATAAGGCCTTGCCTCAAGGGCCAACGCGAGCAGAGCTTCTCTAACTTACATCACTGAACTCCAGAGGTAAACTCTCAGTGGGCTGAAGCTCAGCAGCACTCAAGTACAGATCCATGGGGCCGGCTTCCAGATCGTCTGGCACAGACAGTACCTGCTCGGGCTTATACATCTGAGGAGGCAACTGGAAATGCAGTGGGCAGCAGGGATCCTCAGAGAGGCTTACAGGAACTGGTTTGTTGCAGGGTACCTCTTCAGACCCCTGGCAGCATTTGAAGAGAACCTGATTCGTGTCCTGACAAATATCTGTAGAAAAATGGTCAAGGGAAATAAAATGGATCTACTAGAGGCACAAAATACAAGTGTTGTCTGCCATGTAAAATTCAAGGTCTGCACTACAGAAGACAACTGGTAACATGTGAAACAGAATCAAAGACAGTTAGCAATTTTTTCAAAGTTCTTCTCAAAGTGTCATTCACTAGCATCCAATTCCAGCTCTACCGGTAATTTAAATCTAGTCCCCAAATTACACTTCTGGATCCCAGTCATTTAAACTAGAGACACTTATCTTGTCCTCACTTGGGAGAGTCAAACACAAAACATTTGACAACACTGCTAAGCAAACCTCAGTAACAATCCTAGGAATCTCTATCTATTCCTACAAAACATTCTATGGCAAAGGCAAATAGCTTGCAGAAACGCTACCAAGGCCTCCCAAGAATCAATAGGTATGGTGTTTCTGCTCTGTTAAGCACACTAGCAAAAAAAAATTGCAAAAACTTCTTGAATCTTGTTTCCAAATGTTTACATATGTTTAAAGCAGCAGGGAACTGGGGAAAATAGAAGCCCTAGTAATAGACAAAAAATAAAAGTAAGTTTCCATGCTCCCTTGCTTTTTGGGGGGATAGGGATGCTAGTGCAGGGGAGAATTCTGCCATGGTTCCAAAGAGAAAGGAAAGAAGATAATTTTGCTTATGAGGACCCATGGAAAGCAAGTACCCCAGGAACACTCCAGGAGGACTAACAACTTCTACAGAAAAGGGCAAGTTTCCGAGTTGGCAAAGCAGCTCTGTAGGATGAATCAAAATTAAACTGATTAGATAAACAGTAAAATTTAGTTCAAGTTACTCTCTGAAATGTTTTATTCAAGTGATAACTATTTCTTGAAATCTTAACTACATGGTTTCCCCCTAGATTTACAGACAACTGTTATTTCAAATGTGGGCTTATTTTTAAACGAGAAGCCACAATTTTCTATGAACTAATTGTACCCAGGATTATAGAATTATGGGTAAATTTTCCTCCCAAATTTTAAGGTAATATCTAAAAATTAAGAAGTCTAGCATCTATTTTATTTTTAAACCAAATAAAACTTCTTGAATAAAGCCATTTGTTTCAATCAATTCTTAGAAACTGCTAAACTCTTAAGATAGGGTTTCACAACCGTAATTCTACTGACATCACTGGCTGGCCTGTGCATTGTAGGATGCTTAGCAGCATTCCTGGCCTCTACCCACTAGATGTCAGTAGCACTCTCATCCCTAAATTGTAAAAAGAAAAACTGTCTCCACACATCACCAAATGGGGATAAAATGGTCCCCAGTTGAGAACCACTTCTCTAAAGGAATAGTAAACAGTACAAAGTAAACAATACTTATCAAATGAAAATGAACAATCAAATGAACAAATACACGAATCTAACAGGAACAACCAGATTTGCATTCTCTATGTGCTTAAGAAAACCTAGTCTCCAATGTGCTTAAAAAGTCCAATCGTATTAAATGATTAACATTTAAAATCAATCCATTATATTAAATGTTTTAATCAGAACCTTTTTCATAGAATTCAAAGAACTTTCACAAGTCTCTTATTTAATACAATATCCTGGAAAAACCATCCCCCATCCTCCTCCACCCTCTTTCCTTTCCAATGGGGACAAGAGAGACAAAGAGAAGGGAATGGTTGACCTACAACTAGAGTCTGGGTCCTTCACTTTCAGTCCAGTGCTGTCTCCATTAGACCAGTGTAAAGAGTTAACAGGTCACCAATGGCAGTCGCATCTTTCTCTGGGATAAGGACTTAAGGAAGGGTAAGTGACTTAAGCAACTATGGAGTAGAAAGGAAAAAAGCATAAAACAAAAGAAATCATACTTCCCTTCTCCTTTCAAACACATTTCATTTTCAACTTTGCTTTTTAAAATATTAATAACCTAATAAACCATTTGAGTTTAATATTTTAAGTCTAAAATATTCAATATCTGTAAACTGAGTTTTTCTGATTTATAAAGTAATTCACGCTCACTGAAGAAAACCTGGAAAGTACAAGGCAGAGGAATAAAAGGCATTCGTAACCCCACCAACAAAAAGCAGTCAATTTCTGTTAATTCCCCTCCCAGTGTTTGATTATATGTAATTTCATATCCTATTTTTGTCACAATCATTTTCCTAGGTCATTCATAAATTTTGTTAAATCTAATGCTTATTGCCTAAACATATTCCATATAATGTTACATCATAATTTTCTTCTCTATACCCCATTTCTGGAAATTTAAAGGCTGTCTCCAGTTGAAGGAATTTTATGTAAAAATATCGGTCTACATTATATCCTTAAGATAAATTCCAAGGTAACATTATATCAAGCAATATGAATACCAGGAGCGCCTGGGTGGCTCAGTGGGTTAAAGCCTCTGCCTTTGGCTCAGGTCATGATTCCAGGGTCCTGGGATCAAGCCCCACGTCGGGCTCTCTGCTCAGTGGGGAGCCTGCTTCCTCCTCTCTCTCTGCCTACTTGTGATCTCTGTCTGTCAAATAAATAAATAAAATCTTAAAAAAAAAAAATATGAATACTGCCAAGCTCCTCTCTAAAAAGCTTGTACTACTTAATCTTCCCACTGGCAGTATTTAGAAGGACTCATGCACCACAACCTCACCTCAACTTCAACTTGAAATTCACTCATTCATTAAATATATATATACAAATATCAAATTCACAGATTAAAAATTTTATTTCCTGTTTCACTTATGTACAGTGACAATAAACTTTTCAACATTGAGCCATCCTTTGCCCAACTGTTTTGAGCATTTATCTTTAGTTTTTAATTACCTTGCGCCAAGTAATTTGTGTATTAAGGACAATAATCCTTTATCAAGTATTAAAATAATTAATAAACTGGTAAAATATTCAAATAAACAGAACAGAAAACAATTTTTTCCTCTCAGATGACCAAGAGAAGATTTTTTCTTTTCCTATTAAAAAAGATAAACTTCATTTCCAAATATTTTATATCTCTTGCCAGGCAAATGAAATCCAGCAAGATTTAAGCCTTTTAGATAATAAAGATCGTCATACTTAACAAGTGCTTTTACTGTGAAATTAACTTTCTTGATATCCATAATAAGGATGCACTTTCACAATCCAATAAACTCAGAAAGTCTTACAAACTGACAGTAAATGTGGTCTCATAGCAGCATCAAGAGATGCTATGATGTTTCAAAGGCAAACTAACTGGGAGGGTGGGGAGTGGAATCATTCTATTTTTGGAAATAGTAAGTTTTCAATTTGAATGAAGTCTAAAATATACAAATTAGGGCCCTGACCATACAAAAGGATACTTCTTAAATAAAGGTCACAGTTCAGAACCGACTGTTTTCTGGTGGAAAACCTGTATTAATTGTGTGTGTGTGTGTGTGTGTGTGTGTGTGTGTGAGAGATAACTGGATTTAACACTATTCTATTTCCAGTGAAAAAGTTCTAGCACGGATCTCTGTATTTTAGAATCCCAATACTAATCTACTATAAATAAATATTAGCCCACTGCTATCTCCAATGACTCAGATATTTCTTTCTAATGAATTGACCATTACATTTCCAAAGTTCTGAAATGGCCAACAGACCATAGAAAGACATTTCTTTAGGCTCCTGTTTGAAACCAACAGCTTCAGCAAACTGCTGGCCTTGATTCAGGGCCAAAGGAAAACAAAGACCTTCAATTAAGCAAACTATCAGAGATTCCCACCAGCCTTTAGCTAGCAAATTGAACTGAATAAAAAAGATACGGGTAAGGCAATGTCTGGTCATTGGAAGAGACTGATTGGAACAACGAACATCATCCACAAAGGCCAAGCACCTCTGACTGGAACGAGTCGTGTGAGCCTACAATGGAGAAAACAGATACATCAAACAAACCAACCATCAATAGAAAACACAGGAGCATCTGGGTGGCTCAGTTTGCATCCAGCTCTTTGTTTCGGCTCTGGTCACGATTTCATGAGTTGAGAGATTGAGCCCATGCCAGGCTTCCTGCTCAAAGGGGAGTCTGCTTAAAGATTCTCTCCCTCTGCCCCCACCCCACTCACATGCACTCTCTCTCTGTCTGTCTCTATAAATCTTACAGAAAGAAAGAAAGGAAGGAAGGAAGGAAGGAAGGAAGGAGGGAGGGAGGGACGGACGGAGGGAAAATACAACGAATTATCTATGAGAATAGATACTTGTAACATATAAGAAAGGTACATCCTTAAAAGCTAAAAAACTCAACACATGACAACCTCAAGATCAGCAGTCTCTGGACTCAAGTGCTCTTTTCAATTTACCCCACATCCAATTAAGTCAGATTTCAGAGCCAAGACTGTACAGTATTTTGACTATTACTCTTAGTAAACAAAGCAAATATATATACCCCTTAGAGGTATAAACACAAATTACCTGTTGGGCAGCACCATCTGTGGCCAGCATTCTGCGTTCCTTCAGCTGCCTGTGTAATAAGGCTTCCACTCCGTAACGCTGGCGATACCGCCGAAGACACTTCAGACGCTTTAAGTTCTCTCGTTCTTTGGCCAAAAGTCCCTCTGGGCCAGTCAGGAGACTACTACCTGATGAGTCACAACAGTCAAGATGTTATGTGCCGAGCAACCAATAAAGGATGACTACTCCAAATTAACAAGAAATAAACAGGGTAAATTCTGGCCATAAGATAGCTATTTTCAAAAGCAAATTCTCCTTCACTCCAGGTACCAAGACAGATAAATCTAACTATTACCAAATTCACATTGTGAACCCACAAATAGCTGGTTGGGACCAGCATAAAAAACTTGCCTAGAGCTTCATGTTCCACTTTACGATTATGTAAATAACGTCTCTTCTTCTCTTTGAGCAGATGTTGAAGTCGTTTAAACTGATCGATGTACAAAGACTGCAAACGAATTAGCTTCTCACGCATTATCAGAGCAACTTCTTCTGCTGTGTAGACACCAGCATGTCTGGAATAAAACAGAATTCAGCAAAGAATAAGAAAACACAATATTAAACCCAAGCTTAAAAGGAGAAAAGGGTAGAGAGGAAACTTAAGTTTATTATTTAACAGTAAGGCACCACTGAGACCATCACCTTATTAAATATGAATGTTTTCATACACAGCATTCGAGTTATTATAAAACAAATAATAGGGGCGCCTGGGTGGCTCAGTGGGTTAAAGCCTCTGCCTTCAGCTCAGGTCATGATCCCAGGTCCTCAGGCTGAGCCCCGCATCGGGCTCTCTGCTCAGCCAGAAGCCTGCTTCCCTCTCTCTGCCTGCCTCTCTGCCTACTGTGATCTCTGTCTGTCAAATGAATAAATAAAATCTTAAAAAAAAAAAAAATAATAATAATAATGAAAATTCCTGAGATACTAATGTATGATCTCACAATATGAGGAACGGGAGTGGTTTCGTTATTTTTCCCAGTTATCTGCAGTTAAGAAATGAAGATTTCAAACATGAAAATTTTTTATTAATCTACAATCTTATTCAATTTCATAATTCGTAATTTAGTCACTTAGCAGTCAGGATAGCTTAAAAGTATTCAATTTAATAATATTACTATCTTAATACAGTTTAATTGAAATACAAAAAATAGTAATTTCAATTTCTAATTTAAAATATATTCCTATATTGGAATTTACATGAACCCTCAAAACACTGGTCCACAGTGGCTATTCACTGTCCCCAGCTCATTTTCTTGACAAATTTCTCAAAAATATAGCACCCTGGGGTGGCCCCTAATTGCCAAAGATCTAGATCCACATCAACTTTACTAAGCTTGGCCACCAATTATAAACATAAGAAGTTATTCAAGTGATTATGATTAGGTCACATAAGCAACTAAGTTAAAGAAGCAATTTAACTAGACTTTTCAGATTCTGACTTAAGTCTAAATGAAAAGATTAACTGCAAATTTAAAAGATTTTTGGTTCCATTAGCCTTGTATGATCATTAAATAACCGGGAAGAGGACATTAGATATATACTTGACTTCCTATTTTCATATTTTAACTGAGTAAAAATTACATCCTTTATTTAAAACCATACATACAAATATGTACTCAAACTAATTTGAAATACAAATATTACACCTTCTTTAAAAATTAGCTGTTAAGCCATTAAAACACACAGAATAAACAGAATTATTAACTTCAGGACCGAAAGCAAGTAATCTCTCCCCAAAACCTTTCTCGAATATAAATGGAAGCCAATACTACCTGTGCATTAAGTACAATTACAAAGTAGTCTGAAGTAAAATACCAAAATTAAGAACCAAAACATTATGAATAAAAACTAGCCAATTATACAAATGACAAAATCTAAGACTACCAAAAAGTTGTGAAAAGGTTTTAAAAATATCTGAAGTCTAAATAAGATAACTAATTTGCATCTTCAGGAAAACAGGTTTGTTGCATTAGTATGTTTGCAAACCTAAACTATTGAGGACTTAACCTAATGTTAATTTTGTTAAAATGAAATTAACTTCATTGTACCCTGCCAGAAGAGAATTTAACCAATAGTCTAGGACTAGAATTTATAAATGGAAAGTCACTATAATTAGAATTTACTACAAATCACTGGGGGGAGTGGGTCATTTATTTAAAGATGGATGTTTCAGGGGCGCCTGGGTGGCTCAGTGGGTTAAAGCCTCTGCCTTCGGCTCAGGTCATGATCCCAGGGCCCTGGGATCGAGCCCCACATCAGGCTCTCTGCTCAGCAGGGAGCCTGCTTCCCTTCCTCTCTCTGCCTGCCTCTCTGCCTACCTGTGATCTCTATCTGTCAAATAAATAAAATCTTAAAAAAAAAAAAAGATGGATGTTTCAGACATTCACAGCTAGTTACTAAAATTATGTACCAACTTCCTTTACTCGGATATTCACAAATTTAAGTCAGGGTTTTATTACTTGAATTCATCTTCAAAAAAGAGGGAGCCATCTTATATTCTATTAAATAATGTCTCTTGGGGTGCCTGGGTGGCTCAGTGGGTTAAAGCCTCTGCCTTCAGCTCAGGTCATGATCCCAGGGTTCTGGGATCAAGCCCCAAATTGTGCTCTCTGCTCAGCAGGGAGCCTGCTTCCTCCTCTCTCTCTGCCTGCCTCTATGCCTACTTGTCACCTCTGTCAAATAAATAAATAAATAAATAAATAAATATAAATAAATAAATAAATAAATCTTTTAAAAAAGGAAAGATTTAACAATTAGTCTTAAGCTAAAACTTCACCAGTGCAGGATGTTGTTGTAAATGAAGTCCTCAGGCTCCTTTTTACAAAGCAATTAAGTAAATGGTTACTTTGAGGAAAATCACATAGACATACCTAAAGGTGAGGAAGAAACTATACCAATATTAATTCTAGTCAGGATAAAATCTCTAACAACATCATCATAAACAACAGAAAAGCAGCCTTCTGAAAAACCAAGTGAAGAGGACGTCTGCTGGGCACGTGAGTGGCTCAGTGGGTTAAGCCTCTGCCTCAGGCTCAGGTCAAGATCTCAGGGTCATGCATCAGGCTCTCTGCTCAGCAGGGAGCCTGCTTCCCCCTCTCTCTCTCTGCCTGCCTCTCTGCCTACTTGTGATCTGTCAAATAAACAATTTTTTTTTAAAGATATATGCTGTTGTTAATGATTCAAAAAATGGTCCTAGTAACAATAAAACACTGTCACCAGAGAGGAAATTAAAAGAATTTCATTAAATAAAAAGACTTATATTAAATTTAAGACATCAGTACGTAACCTTATTAACAAATTTAGTATTAAAAGACATTTAACAACTCTACTGACATCCCTAAAAATGCAAGTATTTTAGGAGGCCAAAGTTCTTTTTGGATCATCTCATAGTGGAATTAAGAGAAACCTTATATTTAGTTGCCTACTTCATTTTCCCCTTTGAATATTCCTTTTAGGAGAAATCGACATCAAGTACCTAGTCCTTTTAACACTTATACATCTCATAAAATTAAGTGGTATTTTTAAGTTACACTAGCATAAATATGTCCCCTAGAGACTGATCCACTCTAAATTACTACTGACAAAATCAAGATTTTGGACCTTCGAAGCGGAGTTATTTACCACACCAAAGGACAGTCATTTTGTGACTATAGAGAGCATAAACCTCTTCAAAGCAGCAAGTCTGGAATTTCCAGAAGCACAACTGGGTGGGTGGGTGTGGGGGGTGTTTGGTATAAAGTTACTGCTGTGAGAGAATCCTGCCAGGTAATGAATACTCCACACTTCTTTCTTTTCAAACTACTTAGATGAGACTTTCCAAACAAGTACTTCCTAAAGAGCTGACTAAATTGACATTACTCAAGAAAAATAGATGAAATTAATTCTACTTTGAAAATGTAAACCTAAATGACTTTTCATGACGAGACTAGAAATTCATTATCCCTTGTACTATTTACTTCTATGCAAACTGTCAACGGAAGTGTTGAGAGTACACAGAAAGAATAAAGAAAACAAAAAAAGACAAAATTAAACTAAACCCAAACCATGAGACAGAAATATGAGATTGTGAGTGGCAATGTTTTTTTCCTACAACTCCTTAGGTGATCATGGGCTAAGTAAAGAGTAGAACCTTAGTTAAGATATAATTAGCCTGATTACTCACTTCTGGGATCCTAAATCAGTTTCTCTTTCTTAGGCATGAAACGAAAGGAAACTCCTGAACATCTTCTTATTTTTCTACTAGGGAAAAAAAACTCATAAAATGTAAATTTGCAAAAAAAAAAAAAAAAAGTAGTTATTCAAATACAGTAACACTACTGTTCCTGAGGTTTAAGCCAGGAATCCATTTAAATCAATTTCCTCTTCTCTAACTGATCGAACCATTTCTCAACCGACCTCCTGTTATGTCCAAGAAATTTCCTATTTTCTCCCCTATATATTTTCATGTGTAGAATTTGATATCCAAAATTTTTCCAAATTCCCGACTTCCAAAAAAGAATAAAATCTTGCTCTGCAGCAAGACAGTGATGAACCAGGACACTTAAAAATACAGAAGCTATTACTGTTCACAAATAGCTAAACTCTCTTCACACCTCCTAGGTTCTTTATCTATTAAAAGCATGCATTATTGTAGTCCACATTCTAACTACAAAAGAAATTTTGAAGTCTTATGTGGAGTTACAACTTACTTTAGGGGATCTTCTTGATCACTGTCTATGCTATCAGCTTCACTGTCAGGGTCACCTCTCCATGTCTGATCCACAGTAATGGGTTCCTGCTCCCCATCACTCCAGCTGTCTTCATCTGAGGCAAGGAAGGGAGAGCAGCCATTAAGACTTCCCACCTCTGTAACTCCACCACACAGAACTAGATTACTTAACCCATCAACCCAAACATTAACATTTAAGAGAAACAAACAAACAAAAACCCCCAACAACTTAATACAAAGGCACCTGCAAATAAAACTGGCTTGAAAAAAATATAACCCAAGTAAGGTTACTTAAAACATAAATAAGGTAACCGTGCCCTCAAAAGGACAGAGAGGGTCAACTCAAAATTATTCTTGCTTCCTGAAATTACCTTGCCTAACAAAGACAAGCATAAAAACGGCAATGAAGGAAAGAGTCATAAACTCAAAGACAGTAAATCCAAGCACACACTACCTCAAACCGAAAAGAACCGGTGAACACAGCAATCCTGGAATTCTCACCAAATCGTCAATGAATTACAATTTTATTCTATTATCATGTGTATGTTCAAGGCACTGTGCTAAACCAAAATAAGTTCTTTAACTTACTTTTTCCTTTTTCATTCTAGGAGAAAAGATTCTTACCCAGAATTCGACTAGCTTCACTGCGGCTACTTTCTGGAGTTTGAGACCCCAGCTCTGTCTTAGCGTAAGAGCTTAGCTGGCACAAGAGTGTTTCACCCACAGGCCCTGGATTGGTCTTCTTCATTTGAGCATGAAGTGCCAGGGCATTCCTACGGGCATGTTCAGCGCAGAAAGACACGCTAAGGAGACAAAATATTAACATTTTATACTCAGGTCCGTTCTTGAAAGAGTTCAACCATTTTCACAGTCACTAGTCTTTACATCATTTTTAGGCAATTAAAATAACTACTACCTTCATTTATAAGTTAAAAAGGCCAGGAAGGCAGAGTAATTTAACTGGCCCAATGTCAACTCATTTGGTCTTACTAAGGGGACATGCAGGTAGCATAATAATCTGGCACTTCATTCATCAAACTAAACATCCCAACTATAAAAATGCTGACATCACCTTAGAACAAATCAAAGAGATCCACTTGCATCTCTCAAAAATTGTTTCTGGTAACTCTACATTTTACTTCAGCATCTATCCACTGAAGGTAGTAAGATATGAGGCACAATTTTAAATCCAAAATATACATGCAGAATTAACTAGCCAAGTTATGTTTCTGCATGAATACTTTTGCTTCAATGATGAAAGCTATGAAGCCATTCCCAGAAGAATGCACATATACACAACTTAACAAGGTTCAGGGATGACCCAAAGGGCCAGGGACCCCAGGGTTAAGAATAATCTAGAATATCCCCTTATTTTATAGACAAGGGAAAAGGTCTAAAGAAATTAAGTGAGTGCCCCAACTGGAAGTGGCCTCTTTGCAGTGTTCAACGGTTTGGGTGTTTTTTTTTTTTTTCCTTCTCCTCAAGGATATATCCATAACCCCAATTTTACAAAAACTCCAGCTATTCACAAGGCCACAATATCCACCTCCCCCTCTCGTTTTAAAACTTAAAAACGATATAGATTATCTATACATATATACCCATCTTTCTTCTCAGGCTTTGGTGCAGCACTGGGACATCTTTTTCCATTCTTCGTTGATATATAACTACACTGCTTGAAGGGTGCATTCTTGTCTTCAAGGATATGCTTAATGCAAAACTCCTGCCCCTCCAAGCGAGGTTGCGAGCATGGGCGATGAGTGAATGAACAAGACAGGGGTTCCTGGGACCTGGGCACTGGGGTGATCCTCCCCCGATTGGTCGGCAAGACGTGGATCCGAATCCTGTTCATACCAAAACCTGCAGGGTCACACAGATCAAAAAGCCCTTACCCTTCCCGAAAATTCCTGCTCCACGACATCCGGGCCGAACCCGGGTAGTTTCCAAAAGACTGGCAGAAGTCACACTCCGTAACTGCCCTCCTCCCACGTCTCCCCAGGCCACCAGTCCATTTGTCTCCCTTCAATTTCTCCCCCATGCCCGCCGCCACCCGAACCACCAGCACGTCCTAAGTATCTCGGGCTCGCACGGCCGCCGCACGAGCCGGGAGCGCCAGCCCCACGGGGCGGCAGCAACGCCGCAGCGCCGCGCCGGGCCTCCGCCTTCCTGCACGCCGCCTTTGTCCCGGCCCGCCTCAGAGCTCACGGCTGGGCCCTGCCCGTCCTCGGCCGCCCGTGCAAGCGCCATTTTGTCCTCCGGCTCCGGGCACCAGAGAATCTGGCTTCTGGAAGCCTACAGAAGGAAAGCAACCTCGACGCTGACTGGGACGAAGTAGCAGCTCGAAGACGGAAGGAGGGGAGAAGCAGCAGCCTAACTACGGTAGCGAGACTAAGCACCGCCGCCATCTTACCTCTGCCGCCGCGCCGCACCGCGCCGCTAGCTCTCTGGGCGCGCCACCCGCGTCTAACTCTACCCCGCTCCTTTCCAAGCTCCCAAGCCCTGATTGGCTACTGTGCCCACGGCTGTGTGTCACCATTGGCCGAGGCCGGCTACCTATCACGGCCGGGGGGCGGGGCGCTGAGAAAAAGCGCGGCTGGGGTGGCTAAGACAATCTGTCCATCAGTCAGCAACTCCGCCCCGGGGAGAATGAGGTTGACCGTACGCTGGCTGGTGGAGTCGCTCACGCGGCAGGGCTGTGCTTCCAGTTCGCGGTATGGCTGGTTTTCAGGTTGCTTTTGACCGCTGTGTAGACCTAGGCTGCTATTACCTCACCACCCTGACACAGCGAGTAAAAAAATCACACATGCAGAGGCCAAAAATCGCTGTACAGTTGACTCTTACTGTTTATACAGGAAAAGGCTGTAGTTTTCTTTTGTGAGCAGTTCATTTATTGAAACATTGAGTATTTACGGAGCCTGGGGAATTTATAAACACTTGATTTTTCAGAGCAACCCTGAAATAAGGGGGCTATTATCTCCAGTTTTACAGATAAGATAACCGAGGAACAGAATGGACCTATATCTAGTTATGGGAGAAGGAGGTGAATGTTGTGAACCCAGCCCTCATTCTTTATCCCTCCTCTAATACAGTATAGACCATGACCAAGAATAAGGAAATACGAGTTCCGGTTTAGGCCCAGTTTCTCTAAAATCCTCTACAATTTCATGCTAAATAAGGCAGGTATATAGAAATGGCAAACATGGGTGCCTGGGTAGCTCAGTGGGTTAAGCCTCTGCCTTCAGCTCAGGTCATGATCTCAGGGTCCAGGGATCAAGCCCCTCAGCGGGGAGCCTGCTTCCCCCTCTCTCTCTGCCTGTCTCTCTACTTGTGATCTCTCTGCCAATAAATAAAATAAAATCTTAAAAAAAAAAAAAAAGAAAGAAAGAAAAAGAAATGGCAGACACAATCCCAATTTTATCATATTTTAACGATTTTTAGTTAAATCATCTTTTTTCATCTCCACCGCACCTCTTATTGGAAGGAACCAACAATTTCCCCCTCTCACCTTTCTGGATCTTTTCTGCATCCCATCCTTCCAAGGCTTCTTTATCTATTGTCAGTTTAAGAGGTTTCTCCAGCACCAATGAGCAGGTATGATTCACACTGCAGGTGAGCACAGACAATCTACAATGCTCAACAACAGCAGTTTGGACACAAAAGTGATTAAAATTAAAATTGGGGGAGGGCAGAGGCGCCTGGGTGGCTCAGTGGGTTAAAGCCTCTGCCTTCGGCTCAGGTCATGATCCCAGAGTCCTGGGATCGAGCCCCGCATCAGGCTCTCTGCTCAGCAGGGAGCCTGCTTCCTCCTCTCTCTCTCTGCCTGCCTCTCTGCCTACTTGTAATCTCTGTCTGTCAAATAAAATAAATAAAATTTAAAAAAAAAATTGGGGGAGGGCAGTTGGAAGAAATGCCATTTCCAGATTAGGGCGTCCCTAGAAGGCCCTTTCCTGAAATTCATTCATTTGATAAATATTTATTGAGCACCTAAGTGCCAGGCACCTGGGGATACAGAGAGTAGAAGAAAGATAAACCTGCTTTCTCGGGGTAATCATTCTAGAGCAGTTTGGGGTTGTGGATGCAATACAAACGGTATTAACAGCAACTGCGATTTATACACAAAAGCAAACACTCCAACCCTCAGAATGGGTACAAAGAAGACATTTGTTATAAACTCTCTACAACTCAAAACTAGCGGGAGGCAATCACATTACAGAAAATAGGGGAATCAGAATCTGCAACCAGGGCTGCCTGGCTGGTTCAGTTGCTAGAGCATGAACTCTTGATCTTTTTTGAGTACCATGTTGAGCGTAGAGACTACTTAAAAATAAAATCTTAAAAAAAAAGAAAAAAAAAGGAATCTGCAGCCAAATGTGATATTAAAAAGGAATATTAAAACTCTACTACAGAGAACAATGAAGAGGCAACAGGAACTATATAGGGATGAACAGACTTTGTTTAATTAGTGTCTACTATAGGTCTTAGCTGAAAAAGAAAAAAAAATCCTCCTGATAAGCTCAAGATAGGCAAAAAAATGCTATTTAGAACCACTTCCTTCTAAGCGGGGAAGAGGAAGAATATTATTAAAGACGTTGGCAAATTCTTTGTGCTTTTTAACAAAGTAGATGTCTGTTTTTAAACCACTGAACACTTTGTTAGCTATTGAATAGGTTAAAGTGGACCTGAGGCTGTTTGTAAATAGAATTTGGCAAAGATGAATGCTTGAAGGAAATAGAATTTTTGAGAATTTGGGGTTTGGGGAGCCAATTGTAGAGAAAGAGGTTTGTGTGTGTGCACGCATGACAGAGTGTGTGAATGAAGGCCAAACTCCTCCTTTCTGTAAGTCATCCTCATCTCAGTATGACAACTCCATCTTTGCAGTTGGTTAGGCCAAACACTGGTAATCATCTGTGACTACTCTTCCAACCCTATAGCAGATCCTACTGGCTCCTACTGCAAGATATATAACTTATTACCTGGTCTAAGCTGCTTTCATCTCTTACCTTAATTATTGTGAAAACCATCTTAAATACAGCAGGCCAGGGGTGCCTGGGTGGCTCAGTTGGTTAAGCATCTTTCTTCCGCTCATGATCCTGGACTCGTGGGATCCACCTCCACACTGGGCTCCCTGCTTAATGGGGAGCCTGCTTCTCCCTCTCCCTCTCCCTCTGCCTCACCCCACCCCCCCCCTTGTGTTCTCTCACTTGCTCTCTCTCAAATAAATAAAATCTTTAAAAAAAATAAATAAACACAGCAGGCCAAATGAACATTTTAAAACCTAAGCCAGATCATGTCACTTTTCTGCTCAAAGCTTTTCAGTGGTGCATTTCACTATCTCCATAGTGGCTTACGAGGCCATACAGTAACCAGCCTTCCACTGCCTCTCTAACCACATATTCTACTATTCTCTCCTCACTTGTATCTGTATTAGCTATACTGGCCTCCTTGCAATTTCTCACACATACCAGCATGTTCTCACCTCAGAACCTTGCACTTGTTTCCTGGAATGAGCCCATAATGTTCATAAGAACATGGGGTAACCCAGCTATTCTCATGGCTTTCTCTCACCTCTTTCGGATCTTTGCTAAACTGTAATTTCATGAGTCCTTCCTTCCTAGCCATCTTATTTCCAATTTCAAGAGCCCTACTTAGCTACACACAGACACACAAAACATCTCTATTGCCCTTTCTCTGCTTTACATTCTCCAAAGCACTTAGTATTGAACACACTAAGTTTTACTTATTTGTTTCCCCTACAACTACAATGTGTAAATTCTATGAGGGCAGGATGTTTGAGAAGTTTACTGCTGCATTCCCATCAGTAAACAGTACATAGCAGTTGATAGGTACTATTTTCTAATGAATGGATAAATTTAAGGCAGTAAAGTACCTGAAACCACTCTTCAGAAAAGGTCTATATTCAATTTTAACTTGTTTTTATCACTGTGGTTTTTTGGTTACCTGTTTGTTATGTGAAATGACGGGGCTGATATACCACAGTGCAAAAAAAGGCAGCACAAGTAGGACACGTGACATAAACCAAATCAGTTCAGAAATAGGCCCAGAGCTACAGACTGCAGTGAATACATGCCTCTTATACTGTAACCACAATCCACGGAAGACATAGAAAGGGCTTCAAACTTTCTTCAGATCACTGAATGATAGAGATCAAGTCTTATTCCACTACCAAGTGCCACAGAGACGAGAATCATGGTAAACACTGACTATAAGATGAAGCCTAACTCTGTATCAAATAGTTTAACAAGCCCTATTAACAGAGATCCAGCTGCACACCACACTGATTTCTATCTTATCTACTGCCAAGGATGACAGTTGATAGTAAACAAAGGCAAATCACTAAACAGGATTTTGTAATATCACCCATTCCTCCAGTCTTCATTTACTTCTCTTTTCTTCCATTCAAACCAAAACAGAATTCCTAAAATGTTAGCAACTTCCGCAAAAGTTTCAGGAGAGGCACAGCAATCAAAAAATCTTAAGTTGTCTTATTTTAGAAAATGGAAGGATGACCAGAACTCAAGTAATTATGTTTTTCAGAAGTGTACATCATTTATTCTATCAAATTGATCTTTTTTCCCTTTAAACTATAGCTTCTGCTACTTTGTGTTATAAGTTTGTGGAGTATTTTAACATAAGAATTCTTTTCCTGGGATGCCTGGGTGGCTCAGTTGGTTAAGCTGCTGCCTTCAGCTCAGGTCATGATCCCAGGATCCTGGGATCAAGTCCTGTGTGGGGCTCCTTGCTCAGCAGGGAGCCTGCTTCTTTCTCTGCCTCTGCGTGCTTGTGCTTTCTCTCTCTCTGACAAATAAATAAAATCTTTAAAAAAAAAAAAAAAAGAATTGTTTTCCTTTAAGTGTGTAATTCACAAGATTTACCTTGTGTGTGTGATTTTTTTATCTTCCAGGAAGAGTATTTACTATCAATTTTCCCAGGCATCACCAAGAATGCTGTACTGAGTGAGGGTTTTTTTTCCCCCCTCTGACTACATCATACTTTATACTACCAGGTTCACTGTGACAACCAAATCTTAGGTCTTTCCAACAGACTTAGGAATTCCCACAGGATCTTGCGGTCAGAAAGCACACACTACTACCCAAACTGAAAACTGTAATCCTAACAGTAAAATGACAGTTAAAGACTAATTCGAAGACTTAGGACACATAAACAACAATCAGGTGAGTGTTTTATCATTAACATTTATTGATGGGATGGATAAATACAGATTGAGAAACATACTTGACAGCAAGATATCAAACTGATAGCCAGACTATAAAATGTATACAACATCCTTTTTTAAATTTTTTAAAAATGTGTTTGAATTTTTTACAAAGAGCCCTTACTGTAATGGTCACTTACATTCTATCAATCACATAACAGCAGTAGAGATCCCAGGGGTAGCATCCAGAACTGAGGTGCCCCAAGGAGGACAGAGGCAACAGCAGAGTAGTATGCTGAGAAAGGACTCTTTAGAGCAATACAAAAAAAACAGACAAAAATATTACCACAAAATTGTACCTGAGTGACATAGATTGGTAAAGTATTTTACTCTTTTTTTTCTTCCTTGCTCTTTGGTCTGATAAGAAAACGGACAGTTTAGGGGTGTGCAGAGTAGGGTAAGGGAAAGGTCAGTTTCAAATCCAGAAACCTAGGTTAACACTATGTTAGGCTGCTGCATTCTTTTCTTTGGGTGCTTAACCCAGATAGCACTTCCATCTTGCAACCAATTCCAATGTGATCTACCACTAACTAGTTAGGTCCTCAGCATTCAACTGAAGAGTTCCTGATAACCTGATGGAGACATATTTGCTCTGGCTTCAATTAGCATGCTGTCAAGCATCCCTCTCCATGCTTAACATGGAAACAGAAAATCCAAGAGTCTTTCTCGTCTTTTCATTCAACCATAAATATGCACTCATAAAGGGGAAGGGCGGACACTGCTTTTTAGTAAACATTTTCTTTCCCTCCCTTTTCCAATGCCAAGCTCATATTAAAAACTTTAGAAACATTAAAATGGAAGGGTCTCCCACTTAGAAAATTCTCATTCCAGACCACTCTATCAGGTAGGATTACAGTACCATGCTTGTTTCAAACTTACACCCACAGAGGGATAAAAGACAAAATACAACTTGATAGTGTGACACAACATGAACATTTCTTAAACCATCAGGAGCAAACGCTCAGTTAAAAGCTGGGTGATAACAAGCAGCAACACAGGAAATCTGGGGAGGTATTAAAGTCACTGAAAGCTTAGTTGGGACTGCAAAGAGCTTATTTCTCACCATGGAAAGGGTTGCATAGACTGCTTAAATTCTCCAAAACCCAAGATCATATTTGTATTCCAACTTCAAGATGTCCTAGAATATCCCTTTTCCTAGCATTAGTATCAAAATATCATTGGCAAAAGAATAATCCTTTTAAAAAATTAATCTGTTCCCAAGTTCCCACATTTATTGGGGGGAGGGGAGGCAAAGGTCTTTAAAATCCTACCATACTGGGCTAAGACCCCTCTAATTGCCTTTGTCCAGAAGCAAAGTATGAGGGGTATGCATTTTCAACATGGGGAATTAGGTAGCAGAAGCTTAAGGAAATCCAGCACTGATGTTACCATGATTTTATTTCTATATCCTAATCCATTGCTGTTTCCAACTGGAGATTAAAATTTTTTTTCTATCAACACTGGTGAAGCCAATAATACAGAACTATGAAAAATGACACACTGAATCAAAACACAGAATTAAAAAAAAAAAAAAGAGGAAGCTGAGAGTCTCAGATATGGAAACACACTGATTCATGAGTGAGCAGCTTAGACTAATTCCTATGTATTTTCTAAACCGAAAAAGCATAACTGATGTTGCAGAATAACAATTTAGCTTTAAATTAATGCTTCACTGGAGTTCAGCCAACAGCAACACAGGTATCTGATTAAAAGCCCTAAGGACATTCCACAGGTGTTTGTTTTTGACAACATAAGAGTCAGGCAAGGTTTTAGTAATGAGAGATTTATAGAACTTGAGGCTCCAGGCCTGCTTACCACCACTTATCCTTGATAGTCTAGGTTAAAAGGAGGAAAAAAGCCATGTTTAACTAGACTAACTTTGGATGTATAAATCCCATTTCTCACCCTTCAAAGGTGTGAGCATAGAGAAAACAGAGTTTAGAAACCACACAACTCTTTGAAGCCTAAGTTTATGTAATTTGAAAAATATGCATGCTAGTTGACAAGCATATCTGCTAACCCAAATGCAGCAACTTCATGCAGAGCACACAGGACATTCAGGACATATACACAGATCTAAAAGCAGACACTGTAGATATCTTAAAACAGTATCAGGAGGCATTAATACAGAAGTCTTTAAATTGACCTACATCAGCAATGAACTCCTAGTGCAAAGGCCAGACTGCACAGCATAAAGCAGCTCTTAGGCTCTAGTAAGCACTTTTTCTAGTTCACTCCTGACAAAAGGTCTAAGGAACTAACCACAGATGCCATGGAGAACTGCTCTGAGGCCAAGTGGATATGTCTGCCTCTGTGGTGAAGGAGTGCGCACAATTAAAATATACGTGACATTTGATGAGAAAATCTGAACACTGGAAAAGACATTTTCATAATCAAATCAGTGATCAATTCCACAAAGATATAGATCCAAACTAAATAAACATTTGGGAAGGTCAGGAAGGAAAGCAGACTTCACCAAACAAAATCTAAACAAATACAAAGCCTAGATTTAGTAAACACATCACACTTCTACCAACCACCTAGCACAACACAGAAAATACCAAGGGGATAGAGGAAAATGCCATCAGTGAAAATGAAGTAACATTCTAAGTATTACTGGTTTATAGGTCAGCAGAGAGCTCATTTTACACAGCAATGGCAGGCACTCTAGACAGTTCAGTACAAATATGCAGAGATGCAGGACATTAATTCACCTTAAGATTTACTGTACAAATTCCTTCCTGTATTAGGCCAGTGCATCAACAACTCCAACTGCCTCAGTTTTCTCCCCAACCTGTTCCTGGCAAGCAGCAGCACATGTACAACTCCTATCTCCCTATAACTTCCAATGAAAAATATTCCATTTTTCTATACAGGATATTTGGTGTAAAGGAAGCTGCACTAAAAACAGCAAGACAAATTCAAATTGCATCATCTTTTCCATAGCAAAAAATAACGCGAAGACCAAAGAACACCACATCAAATGATCTGTGGCTTAGTGGCATTTTCAGTTAGACAACCTGGCTTAGAATTCTTTCTAGTCCCTTGAGATTTCTTTCCTCAACAAGTGTTGAGCTTTGAGTGTTGGCATCCTGAACACCAATTATCCAGAAATCTGGGATAATCAAGCACCCATGACTCCTGATTCTTTTTTTTTTTAACGACTCTTAGGAATCTCCGGAAAAACCCCTGCCTAGAAACTAAAGCCACCAAAGATGGACAACCTGCATCTGTGGGATAGGCTTGCTCACCCTCATGACACCAGTACTGTTAAATTCACAAGTTCCAATCTCTGAAGTCAGGTTGCAAAATTAAGGTTGCAAAAATTAAGGATGCTGCTGTTTCCCTTCAGATATACAAATAAAAAGCAAGTCTTACATTCATAATGCAATTTAAAATACAATATCCTAAAAATACCCAATCACAATTTCATTGTTTTCAGTATCCCCTAGGTCCATGACTTCTCCCAGAACTATTCTCATATATGGTCTGGGCTTTCAGAGGCAGAATATAGAGCACATCCCCCTTCCCTTCAGAGACCCTGAGATTGCTCTCACTTGAACACTTTCCCAAAGCCCAACTTGAAAAAAAGACACACCCAATTCTGTAGGGCAGACGCCAGCCTTGCTCTCCAATCCTTCTTCCTCAACCCCACCTTTCTTCTGCATCAAAAAAAAAAGGGGGGGGGGAGGTAAAAGGGAAGTTTTTGTAATGGAGTCCAGAATCAGGCCACTGGCTGCACTTGCCCAAACTAGAATTTAGAAGGTTACCACTCAATTACAACATAAAGAAACGGGAAAATACCATGCTAACACATGCCTCTTCCTTCCTTTATGCTCTAAAGGCCACACCGTGTTCTCTCTAGTAGACTGTTGGGAAGTGAAAACGGTGAGGGACAGGGATGGAAAGATAAAACATGATTTTTAAACACACACGCTTAAAACCACACATACCCACACTTACATACACACTTAAAGGTCTCAACACTTCAAGTGGCCGGAGCCTATCAGACAGAACTCAAGGCCAAAAGCCTACCCTCCCATCCCCCCTATACAGCCCCCCCACCCTCCAATCCCACCCCCCAGGAGTCATTGCTATGTATCTCATACACACAGCAAAATCCCTATTCCCTCCTGCCCCGGATGATATAAAAAAAACTAAACAGATAACTTACTTTCTTTAAATTATTTTTTTAAAGTCTCTTAAAAGATTTTGACGTTTAAATACTTCCACTCTTCTGATATATTAAACACCAAAAGGATCCACAACTGTTTGATGAAACAAACCCTCCATATTTCAGTCCTGGCCAGAAGAGGGAAGACATCGACTCTAATCAACCTAATTAGGAGGTGGAGAGGCCAAGAACAGAGAAAGTATTCTTAATCCTTCACAGCTTCAACACATTCTCACCTCTCTAATACCAGTAAAAACTGTAATAAAATAGTTCAATTTCTGAGGCAGTAGATATAATAACCAAGCCCCTCTACCACCCTCCCACCTGCATGTCAATATTACTTATTCCCTAGTCCAAGAAGGGTGACATATTTCATAAGGGAAGTAATTTCCTTAGTCCAGAATCAGTAGTTAAAAATAAAAAAAAAAAAGTTGTTTTTAAGGAAGTTTTTTTCTCCTCTTCTTTTTCTTTTTTACTTAGGAAGGGGAGGAAGTGGTGGAGGCGGCTCCGACGGAAGAGGTGGTAGCCGGGGTTTGTCTGTATTGCCAGATCTGGAGGACATTCCACCAGCCCGGGGATTCAGATATTCACCGTAAGAATGAACAAAATCAAATGCAGGGGGCTGAGTGGGCTGAACACCCTGGGCACTGAGAAGGGAGTGAAGCATATTCACAGTATCTTGATAGTCTATTGTTTGGGTTGCATTGTGACCATTGGCCCCAGTGGGCCCTTTATCCAGTTTCATATGAGGAACTCGAGTTTTACAGCTGGGCTGTGAAAAGGGAAGGCCACTTGTGTCTGAGCTATGCCCAGGCAACTGGGCCATTGTAGGAAGAGGAGGGAAGGAGAAATTTATGGACGAGGATTTAGTACTCTTGGCAATCTTGGCTGGATGATCAAACACTGCCCCTCCAGTCTCTTCAGGGGGGCCCCTTTTGCGAGTAGAACTGGAAGAGGAGAAAGAACTAGACAAGCTATAGGTTTTGTGTGCTAGGGTGCTTGTCTGGCTACTATGTTTTGGATCACCTGGACGTTTGTTCCCAGTACCAGCTGGAAGCTGTGAGTGAGAGTGCTTGTGTGAGTGGTGATTATGATGATGATGATGATTAGATGGGTGAGTCTTGTGCTTTTCTTTGTGCTCTCGGCTCTTTGTGACACTGTCCTCTACAGAATTGTGCTTGTCAGCTGCAGAATGGACTTTAATGCGCATTTTTATCTCCTCTGGTTTTGAAGAGGCAGCTTTATCTCCACTTGCCACTGGGATTCTCATTTTGAGAGCTGCTTTGTCAGCCTTTTCCAGAAAAGGCCGCTCGGGGTTTTCCGAGCCCTCTATGGGCATTTTTAGAATGACCGAAGAATGGCTATCATGGTGTGACAGGAGATTCTGGGCAGCATATGCATACTGTGACTTCACATTGGCCTCCATGTTCTCCAGCTGCCTCTTCTGGGCAGCCAACTCTTCTGCATGTTTTGCACGGTATTCCTTCAGTGACACTTTAGCTGATGGCACACTCTTACTATTCTGCTTCTGGGAAATAAATGTATTCGAACCATCCTGTTGCAAAGAATGATCAACTCCCATAAGTGCTAAATTCTCACTAGTCCGATGACCCTGAGCAGGTTCCAGTTTAAAAGGAGGTTGGGAGGACAGCCAACGCTCGCCCTGCAACATCTCCACATTGCTTAAGTTGCTGGATGACTCTTCAGTGGCTGGAAGGGAAGGCACTGCACTTGCAGAAGAAGTTGACATGCTCATTAAACCTGCAATAGTTGTGTCTGAAGAGCTCTGGGAAATCATATTGAGAATTGTCTGCTCCGAAGTGTTTTCATCTGTTCCTCGATCATCTGCTTTTGTCTTCCTGGCAGCCTGGCATGCCTAGAATGAAGCAAATGACATCTCTTCACCTCAGGTAATTCATAAAATGGGGGGAGGGGACTGGAATGAAGAGACTGTGCTTGCTGCAACAGTGGAAGTTCTGGGTAGCCCAAAGGCAAAAGGCTACTCTAAAATCACTAATTATAACCATTAGAAGTAAGATTTTGAAAACCTTCAGTCAAGAGTCATACAAACAAGACCTCAAGGAGATCTCTGAACTCCCATGTTCACTGCATCATTATTCACAATTGCCAAGATATGGAAGCAACTCAAATGTCCATTAATGGATAATGGATAAGCAAAATGTTGTATAGAAGCACAACAAATCACACTTAGCCTTAGCAGAGGAGGAGGATTCTAGGAAAATGTCAGAGTAGGAAGCACCAGGAATCTCTCCCCTCAGACAACAACTACACTGACAGAATTTGTCTGATGTAACTATTTTGGGACTCTGGAGTCTGTTAAAGGCTTGCAACTTTTGGGGTAAGCCTTGCACAGTAAATTGGAGTAATTTACATCAATTTCACCTCTCAGCACATTAGCAACTACCCATCTCCTACCCCAGCCACAATGGAGGCAGCTTGCACTCTGGGAGAGCCAGTACCAGCAAAAATGACTCTCCTGCAAACAGCAGTCCCTGTGCTCTGATCCCTGATTGCAGGTTCTGACAAAAGAGTACGGACTAAGAGACAGGCAGCCACTGTTAAGGCTCCTCCCTCTACTGCTGCAAGCTCCTTGCCCTCTGGCTAAAGTGACTCTCAAGGGACTTAAAGGACCAGCACCTTTTCTTCTCCCCTTCATTTTTTGCTTTTTTCCTCTTTTGGGAGCCAGACATTAAGAGCAGGATATTTAAAAAAAAAAAAAAAAAAAAAGCATGTACAGAGAAAATTAGAAAATTTTGACCACACGCTCCCAGGGAAAGATTTAGAAAAGAAGTGAGAATACCTTAAGTTTACATCTCAGGCTGATCCTCAACAGAGACACCACCCCAAATCAAATCCAACCCCCATCCAAAAATAATAACAAAAAACAGAAAAGCCTGGGAATCTGATTTCCAGTTACCACATTATTATATTAGAATGTCCAGATTTCAACAAAAAAATTACAAAGCATTTTAAGAAATACAAAAGTATGACCCATTCACAGGAAAAAAATAAATCAACAGAAACTATCCCTGAAAAGGACCTGATGGCAGAACTACCACACAAAGACTTTAAAATAACTCCCTTAAAGGGGCGCCTGGATAGGGCTCAGTGGGTTAGAGCCTCTGTCTTCAGCTCAGGTCATGATCCCAGGTCCTGGGATCGAGCCCCACATCAGGCTCTCTGCTCAGTAGGGAGCCTGCTTTCCCACCCGCCGTCTGCCTCTCTGCCTACTTGTGATCTCTGTCAAATAAATAATAAAATCTTAAAAAAAAAAAAAAAAAAACCTCCCTTAAAGATACTCAAATTACTTAAAGGAAGTATGGAGAAAGTTAAGAAAACAATATATGAACAAAATGGAAATATCAAAAAAGAGATAAAAAATCTAAAAGGAAACCAAAAAGAAACTGGAGCTAAGAAGTACGGTAACTACAATGAAAAATCCACCAAAGGGATTCAAACATAGATTTGAACAGGTAGAAGAAAGAATCATTAAACTTTAAGACAGGACAATGAAAATCACTGAGTCTAAGGAACATAATGAAAAAAGATTAAAGCCTGCCGGACACCATCAACTGGACCAACGCATGCACTGTGAAAATTCCAGAAGGAAAAAAGAAAGGGGCAGAGAGAATATGAAAAAATAATGGCTGCAAATTTCCCAACTTTGATAAAGACATGAATAGAAACAAAAGCTCAATAAATTACAAGATGAACTCAATGAGACTCACATGAGAATATCAAACTTCAAAAGCCAAAGACAGAGAACCTTGAAAGTAACAAGAGAAGTGAGTCAACAGGTCCAAGAGATCCTCAATAAGATCACGAACAGGTATCTCATCAGAAGCTTTGGAGACCAGAAGACAGTGAACCAACAGATTCCAAGTGCTAAAAGAAAAAAACTTGTCAACCAAGAATCCTATATCTAGCAAAAATGCCCTTCAGAAGTTAGCAAGAAATTAAGACATTACCAAATAGATAAAAGCTGAGGAAGTTCATGACTATTAGACCAGTCAGTCATCCAAGAAGTACTCAAAGAAATCCTGCAACGTGAAATGAAAGGAGACTATATAGTAAGTCGAAGCCATAGGGAGAAATAAAGATCTGCAGTAAATACACGGGCAACTATAAAACCTACCTTTTTTCTTTTTTTTTTAAAGTAATCTCTACCCCCAACATGGGGCTAGAATCTACAACCCTGAGAACAAGAGTCCCATGCTCTACCAACTGAGCCAGATAGGTGCCCCCAAAGCTACTACTGTTTTAACAATGGTCTATAACTGGGCTTCTTGTTTTCTATATGATTTAACCGACTAACACATTTTAAGGAAAAATACACAATTATTAATGCAAAAGCTAATATTACTGTAACTTTGGTTTGTAAATCAAGCCTTATTTCCTATTTAATTTAGAACCCTCATCCACTTAAAAGGATTATTAGGGAAGCCTGGGTAGCTCAGTCAGTGGAGTGTCTGCCTTTGGCTCGGGTCAAGATCCCAGGGTTCTGGGATTGAGTCCCATATCTGGCTCCTTGCTCAGTGGGGAGGCTGCTTCTCCCCGTGCCTGTTGCTCCTCCCTGCTTGTAATAACACATTCTCTCTCTCTGACAAAAAAAAAAAAAAGGACTATTAGTTTATGTTCTGGGGCATGCAATGTACAGACAACTTTGTGACATCAACAACTAAAAGATATAGGGACACAGCTACAAAGAAAAGAAATTTTGTATGTTACTGAAGTTAAATCAGTATAAATTCAAATTATTATAACTTTATGATGTTAAACATAACATCATGGTAACCACAAAGAAAACAGACGTAGAATATACACAAAAGAAAAGAGAAAGGAATTTGAAATTTTCACCATGGAAAAATCAACTAAAAGACAGTAATGCAGGAAATGAGGGACAGAAACCTATGAGGCATGTAGAAAACAAACAGCATAAGCATAATGACATTATCTACAATTACTTTTTTTTTTAAGATTTTATTTATTTATTTGACAGAGATCTCAAGTAGGCAGAGAGGCAGGTGGGGGGTGGGGAAGCAGGCTCCCCGCTGAGCAGAGAGCCCGATGTGGGGCTTGATCCCAGGACCCTGGGACCATGACCCGAGCCGAAGGCAGAGGATTAACCCACTGAGCCACCCAAGTGCCCCTCCCCCCCCTTTTTTTTAACATTTATTTATTTGACAGAGAGAGAGAGATCACAAGTAGGCAGAGCAGCAGGTGGGAGGGGGTGTGGGGGGGGAAGCAGACTCTCTACCGAGCAGAGAACCCAATTCGGGGCTTAATCCTAGGACCCTGAGATCATGACCTAATCCAAAGGCAGAGGCTTAACCCACTGAGCCACCCAGGTGCCCCTCTATAATTACTTTAAATGTAAACAGATTAAACTCTCCAATAAAGACAGAGATTATCAAAATCCATAAAAATATGATCCAGCTATATGCTGTCTACAAGCAAATGAGATCCTAAGACCCAAACAGGTTGAAAATGGGAAGAGGGAAAAACATACCATGCAAACAGTAACCAAGAAAGAGCAAGGGTGGCTATACTAATATGAGACAACATACATTTTAAAACAAAAAAGGTTTCAAGAGACACAAAAGGACATTATACATTAATAAGAGGCTCAAGTTAGCAATTGTTACAATTATAAACATTTGCACACCTAATAAAACACAATCAAAACTGACAGAAGATTTCACTTAAAGACTTCAATACCCACCCACAACAATTGACAGAACAACTGGACAAAAGATAAGGAAACAGAGAACTTCAAAAAATAAACCAACAGGATCTAACAGACATATACAGAACACTCTACCCAACAACAGTATAAACACTCTTTGCAAGTACACATGGGACATTTACCAGGATAGACCACATGTGAAGCAACAAATAGTCTCAATAGATTTTTAGAAGATAGATACCATACAAATTTGCTTTTCTGACTACAAGATAAAGTTAGAAATGAGTAACAAAAGGAAAACTGGAAAATTTACAAAATTGTGGAAACTAAAGAACACTTTAAAACAACCAATAGGTCAAAGGAAAAATTAAAAGGAAAACTGGAAAATACTTAGGGATGAATGAAAACACAACATATCAAAACTTATGGGATGCAGCAAAAGCAGCACTAAGGGAGAAATTTAAAACTATGAACAGTGGCATTAAAAATAAAGATCTCAACAAACTAACTTTATAATGTGAGGAACTAGGAAAACAACAAACTAAAGCCAAAGCAAACAGAAGGAAGGAAATAACAAAGATTACAGCAGAGATTTAAAAAAAAATAGAAAACAGAACACAGAAAAATTAATAAAACTAGCACTTGGTTCTTTGAGAAGATCAACAAAATTAAACCTTTAGCTAGATAGTCTAGGAAAAAAAACCAGAAGAATCAAACCACCAAAATCAGAAATGAAACTGGAGACATTGCTATCAATTCTACAAAAATAAAAAGTATTGTAAGGGTACTCTGAACTTAAACAATCTGGAAGAAATGGATACACTCCTAGACACAAATAAACTACCAAAACTGAACAAGAAGAAACAGAAAACTTGAACAGATCCATAACCAGCAAGGAAATTGAAGCAGTAAGCAAAAACCTCCCAACAAACAAGAGTCCAGGGCCAGATGGCTTCCCAGGGGAATTCTACCAAACATTTAAAGAATTAATACCTATTCTTCCGAAGCTGTTTCAAAAACTAGAAATGGAAGGATAATTCCCAAACTCTTTCTATGAGGCCAGTATTACTTTGATCCTAAAACCAAATGCCCCACTAAAAAGGAGAATTACAGACCAATATCCCTGATGAATATGGATGTCAAAATTCTCACCAAGATATTAGCCTATA